CCTTGAGGACAAGGTACCCGAGAATCCTGATAACATTGTCCCTGAGGACAAAGTACCCGAGAATCCTGCTGCATTTGCCCTCGAGGACCCTGCTAACATTGTCACTGAGGACCCTGCTGTAGTTGCCCCTGATGGCAAGGAAGCCCCTGAGGCGGCCCCCCCTGAGGCACCGGAACAGAAGATGTCGACCGATGAAGCTGTTCCTGTTTCCCAGCCTGCTCCTGCTCTTACTCCAGCGCCGACTGAAGTCGCTGGACCCCTGACACGTTCCAAAAGAACGTTGTTCCAAGGGCCAGCTCTCAGAAGCCCGTTTGTCGAGCCTGAGATGACAGATCCACCCCCGAAGAGGATGCGAACGAAGACTGCCGGCAGAATAACAAATAGAGGACCCAGAGGTGGAGGAGCCAGGGGAGGAAGAGCAAGAAGAAGATATGTATCACCTGTGGTAAGCGACGAGGAAGAGGAAGAGAAACATGAAAGGGAGGAAGAGAAAGTTGAAGAAAAAATGGAGGTTGAGAAGGTCACAAAACACGAAGAGGAAACCGAAAAGAAAGAAGAAGAAGAAGAAGAAGAGATTAAGGATGAGAAAAAAGAGGCGCCAGAAGAAGAGATAAAAGAGGAGAAAAAAGAGGCGCCAATACAAGAGGAGAAGGAAAAAGTGGAAGGAAGTGTCAAGAAGCGACGCCCTATATTCATTGGGCAACCCACCGTGGTTATGGGTAGTGTGCTTCGGATACCGAGCTTTGTCCAAACATGCACTCTCAAGGCGACAGAGCTCTATAACTTTATGAAGATGGATCGTGCAGATCGGTTTTGGAAGTCAGAGATTGATTATTTGAGGAAACCAAGGTTCTGGGAAGACCTTTTGCAGGAGCGGGTCTGGCTAAAGGATGGGGTAAGTTCATTTCTCTTATACCTTTCAATTATTGGTCACTGTTGGTCACATTGGTCACTTTTGTTAACTTTGGTCACGTTGGTCCCACTGGTCACGTTGGTCCCACTGGTCACGTTGGTCCCACTGGTCATGTTGGTCCCACTGGTCATGCACTACCCTTTTATGAGCATTGTGTTACAAGTAAGCAACATAGATTGAAGTTCAGTAGTTCAACTGCTAGAAGTAAGGCTATCCTAGACCTTATTCATTCTGATGTTTGGCAAGCACCGGTGACGTCCTTAGGAGGTGCAAGATACTTTGTATCTTTCATTGATGTTTACTCTAGGAGATGTTGGGTGTACCCCATCAAGAAGAAGTCAAATGTATTTGAAGCTTTCAAAATCTTCAAAGCACGTGTCGAGCTTGAATCCGGAATGAAGATCGTGTCTAAGAACAGACAATGGAGGAGAATATATTGGCGATGAATTCAACCAGTTCTGTCAACAAGAAGGCATCAAGAGGCAGTTCACGATGGCTTACACACCTCAACAAAATAGTGTAGCAGAGCGGATGAACAGAACCCCATTGGAAAGAACAAGGGCAATGTTGAGATCTGCATAATTGGCCAACACGTTTTGGGCTAAAGCAGTCATGACCGCCTGTTATATGATCAATCGGTCTCCATCAACCGTAATTGATCTGAAGACACCAACGATGATGTGGACAGGATTATTCTCAACTCCATATGTTTGGAAGTACGACGTGTGCGATGTACAACACCCAAGAAACAACTAAACTAGATTGGTGTGGTGGCTCCCAAAGATATATACAGTCGCCAAGATATACCAATTTGATGAAAGCACCATGTTTGACTATCATTACGTCGAAGGGCTGCCTCAAAATGGTAACGGAGATGACTGCGGTGTGTTTACCATCATGTACCTTGAAGCCCTGATGCGAGGTCAAGAAAGAATATTGTGCAATCAAATTTGCGATGAAAATATTTCATCGATTCGTGAGAAGATTGCTGCGGATATCTTCTCAAATGGCCAGATTGTGAGTCTTGCTCCCGATGTAAGACGTGACGATTCCTCCCCAGATGCAAGATAAATTATGATATTTCTTGTATTCTGTTTGAACCTTTGAACCTTTGAACCTTTGACTTTATTTTTTGTGTTAGATATTTTCTGAATGTTTATTGCGGGAAAATTTAAATTTTCGGAATTGCATATTGGCCAAAATTTTGGAATTCGGTTGGCGGGAAAGTTTAAATTTTCGGAATTGCATATTGGCCAAAATTTTGGAATTCGGTTGGCGGGAAAGTTTAAATTTTCGGAATTGCATATTGGCCAAAAAGTGGAACTGCTTTTCTGCAGAATCAGATGTGTGGGCCCGCTGTAAATGGTATTGGTGCACATCTCCCCATAAACCTAATTCCAATTGATTTACCCCAAACCAGAAATTTAAGTATCCAGACCAGAAACCTATTACTAAACCGGAAATGTAATCCCCTAAACCGAATTTTATCACATCCCGACGGTCCCACTGGTCCCACTAGTCCCACTGGTCCCACTGATCGAATTTCACGAATTCAACGCTTTGGGAGTGTAATGTACGATCATACAAATGGTTCGGAGGAGGAATCGAGGTTGAAAGTCGTTGAGCATTATTCGATCGAAAGCTATGAACACAAAACGAATCCCATAAGTGTTAGTAGTGTTTTAGGAATACTTTGGATCAAAGTAACTTTGTGTTCGGAATTTTTTTGTCCAAACCGCTTACGAGATGTTAGTTTGAAGTGTAATTACATCTTTTCACAGCGCACCAACTTTGTTTGGCTCACCCACAGTTGATTTGGTTCACTTTTATCACATCCCGATAGTCCCACTGGTCCCACTAGTCCCACTGGTCTCACTGATCGAATTTCACGAATTCAACGCTTTGGGAGTGTAATGTACGATCATACAAATGGTTCACAGGAGGAATCGGGGTTGAAAGTCGTTGAGCATTATTCGATCGAAAGCTATGAACACAAAACGAATCCCATAAGTGTTAGTAGTGTTTTAGGAACACTTTGGATCAAAGTAACTTTGTGTTCGGAATTTTTTTGTCCAAATCGCTTACGAGATGTTAGTTTGAAGTGTAATTACATCGTTTCACAGCGCACCAACCTTGTTTGGCTCAGCCACAGTTGATTTGGTTCACTTTTATCACATCCCGACGGCCCCACTGGTCCCACTAGTCCCACTGGTCCCACTGATCGAATTTCACGAATTCAACGCTTTGGGAGTGTAATGTACGATCATACAAATGGTTCGGAGGAGGAATCGGGGTTGAAAGTCGTTGAGCATTATTCGATCGAAAGCTATGAACACAAAACGAATC